GGGGGGGGGGGGGGGGGAAGAATATGGTTGTGTGCTAAATGACCCTGGAACATTCCCAGCTAGAGAAACGCCCCCTGCATTCTAGACCCCTGTGGCAATGTCACCTCTGACCTAAGAAAGTCAAGATGTTGCAGTTGGATGGAGCTGGGAGGCAAGCTGGCAGCCCGAATGTTGGGTGGTCCCAGGAAAGAGGGGAGGAAAGGGCCAGGGATATGCGTCAGGGGAGAGGGTCAAGGGGGAGGGGGAGTTAATGGAAACAGTAAGCAGAGGAGAGACAATGGGGCACTTTTGGGCACACCCACGGGGGAGCAGACACCACTCCAGCCAGCCAAGGGTCTAATTAGATCCTCACTGTCAGAATGACCTATCCCTTCTACGTCTGAGGCCCCAGGGGTTGGGGAGGGTTGGGGTCAGGGAGTAGTAGATAATTAGAAACATGCTCTATTGAGTGAGCAGGCACCACCAGGACTGCCTCTCTCCTCACTGCACCCCTATCTCCCCCAGATCTCTAATCCCCTTCCCCAAGACCTAGACAATTCCAGCCAGACTAGGGGAGGGGCTGGTGGAGCCTGGGAGTAGAAACCGGGTGGCATTGGCTTCTTGGGTCTTTACACACTCTCTAAAGTGCAAACAACATATTTTCGCCATGTGATGGTATTTAATTACACATAAAAACAGAGCCATTAAACTGAAATTAAACCCTTTTTGGAATCACTTAATTCAGGGCATGACAAATTGCTTTCAGTGGAGGCGGCTCTGAAGTGCCCCCAGGCAGAAATGGAGATTAGCAGCTTCCAGGGCTGGCTGGGTCCCCTGTTCTCTTTGCCCCCTTGCCAGCTCTAAATTCTGAAATTGGGGTCAGAATTCTGAAATTGGTGGCCTTCTTCCTGAAGACCACCCAAGCCAAGGGGGAGTCTCTAGGTTTGTTTGAGATAAGAATGGGGGCTGGGTAAACACAGATTCACTGTCAAATCCACTCTTATGTCCTGGTGGGGCCACCATACCTGGATGAACTTAAAACCATTTTATGGATGGGGAAGCTGAGGCCCAAATGCCAAGGATTGAACTCTGCTACTAAGCCATGACCAAGGAGGCTTTTATTTTCAGGTTTGTATCCTTTTACTCTGGGCCTGGAGACAGAGGTTGGGGCTGGGAGGGTGAAGGCTAGGGAACCAGAGCAGGACCTGGTAGGGAGGGTAGATTTCTCCAGAACTGGGCTCCCACCTGGTCCACGACTGGAGACAGCAGGGAAGGCGTAGCACTGCCAAGGCAGCCTTGACATCCTAGAAGGCAGTCCGGAGCCCAGACTCGAATCACACAGACCTGGTCACTTACCCGCTGGGTGAGGATGGGCAGGTGGCACCTTCACTCCTGGGAGCCTCAGTTTTTCCCTGCTGTCAAATGGGGATGACGATTCTTATCTACAGAGTGAAGACCAGTGGGCAGAATGCTTGAACAGGGCAGAGTTCAGTAAGTGGTGCTGTGAGACCTCCTTCTCAGGACCCCATTTATAACAAGGTCCAGCTAGGATCTGGTGTTTCTAGGACCTTCGCTTGCTCTGACTCTGTTTGCAGCCCTTTGTTCTCCCTCCACATTCCGTCTTTCCTTCAGTTTCCCTTCTTTCCTCTGTCGTCTGGAGTCTGTGCTTAGACTTGTGGATGAAAAAGGGGCCACATACGAAACCTGACAAGCGAAACCTGACAGGCGCAGAGGACGCCTGCGTGGTGGCCTACAAACTCAGAGACCGAAAGTAACCACATAGGACGGTCTGAAATTAAAAATTTCTAACTAAAAGCAGTTCATGGCAGGTAGTCATGTGCTAGGCCAGTATTTTTCCCTAACAAAGGTTAATCTTTATCTTAACTGAGCCTGTTGACTTTTTTTATTTACACCTAGGATAACATATCTGATAATATACCTTTAGAAAATCAAAGTAATTTCCTTTTTTCTGGACACCTCAAAGCACAACTACTGCACCAAAGCAGAGACCATAAATCCCCTCATTGTTATTATTATCATATTAATTGTTACCTATCCTACACCCACCTAAGTAAATGAAGTATTCGTTGCCCTAGCTGGTTTAGCTCAGTGGTGAGGGCGTTGGTCTGGGGACTGACGGGTCCAGGGTTCGATTCAACCAATCGATGTGTCACATTGGTATTCTTTCTCTGTCCCTTCCACTCTCTCCGAAAAACAGTGGAAAAAATATCCTCGGGTGAGAATTAAAAAAAAAGTAAAAAAAGTATGTGTATTTGTTTTATTTTTTATCCAATCCCAGAGATTCTACCCCCGCACCCCCACCCCCCATGCTTTGCTTTTTTTCTTCCCAGCAATTGTCATCAGTTTGGCCCAAATAAACTAAAAAATCTTGAAAATCCTTACAGGTTTGGA